ACACAAATTACCTAGTGACGTGTTATGTCACACAAGTTACCTAGTGACGTGTTATGTCACACAAGTTACCTAGTGACGTGTTATGTCACACAAGTTACCTAGTGACGTGTTATGTCACACAAGTTACCTAGTGACGTGTTATGTCACACAAGTTACCTAGTGACGTGTTATGTCACACAAGTTACCTAGTGACGTATTATGTCACACAAGTTATCTAGTGACGTATTATGTCACACAAGTTATCTAGTGACGTGTTATGTCACACAGTTATCTAGTGACGTGTTATGTCACACAGTTACCCAGTGACGTATTATGTCACACAGTTACCCAGTGACGTGTTATTTCACGCAAGTTATCTAGTGACGTGTTATTTCACACAAGTTATCTAGTGACGTGTTATGTCACACAAGTTATCTAGTGACGTGTTATGTCACACAAGTTATCTAGTGACGTGTTATGTCACACAGTTACCTAGTGACGTATTATGTCACACAGTTACTTAATGCTGTATTATGTCACACAGTTACCTAGTGATGCATTATGTCACACAAATTACCTAGTGATGCATTATGTCACACAAATTACCTAGTGATGCATTATGTCACACAAATTACCTAGTGACGTGTTATGTCACACAAATTACCTAGTGACGTGTTATGTCACACAAATTACCTAGTGACGTGTTATGTCACACAAGTTACCTAGTGACGTGTTATGTCACACAAATTACCTAGTGACGTGTTATGTCACACAAATTACCTAGTGACGTTTTATGTCACACAGTTACCTAGTGATGTGTTATGTCACACAAGTTACTGATAAAGAGACCACGCTTCTTCAGCATATACCACGACCTTTGATACGTACTCTTAAAGACTGCTTAGCTCTGTTTGTGTCGTGAATATTTGAACTTCTGTATGATGCGAATATTTATAGTATTACATACACGCAAGTATTTAGAACAATTAAAGGTTGATAATGCTGTACCTACTTTTAAACAAGCGCTACTGTCTTCTTTGACTTGCTAACCTCTGTACACTGGCGGTGCTGAGTCTCCGAGAAAAACAAAACAAAATTCTTACTGTGCATATATTAAAAAAGCAATCCTCTTATGTGTGAGGTTCCCATATATATTTGTTGACCCATCAAGACTAAGCTTGTTATAAATACTTATGGTCACTTCAGGAATGTCCTTCCATAACTTACAAAAAAAAAAAAAAAAGGTGGTTGGTAGATTTCCTCAGATTTTTGTTTTTCTGTTTGTTGATGGTTACATAACCGAAATAAAAACAATAACGCATATATATATATATATATTACATTTCGACTAAATATTTCCTGAAACGGAAGTTACGAAGCACCACCTGTATTTTACGTAGTTTGTATTTTCACTATAACTATGGGCCCGGCATGGCCATGTAGTTAGGGCGCTCGACTCGCAATCTGCGGGTCGCGGGTTCGAATCCCCGTCACACTAAACATGCTCTCCGTTTCAGCCGTGGGGGCGTAATAATGTGACGGTCAATCCCACTATTCGTTGGTAAAAGAGTAGCCCAAGATTTGGCGGTGGGTGGTGATGACTAGCTGCCTCCCCTCTAGTCTTACACTGCTGAATTAGGGACGGCTAGCACAGATAGCCCTCGTGTAGCTTTACGCGAAATCTATAACAAACAAACACTCTAACTATTGTCTATATATGCATCATAAGATAATTACAGATAGTTCTATTTGGATGCAGTAAGATACAATTATATAAACAACTTCTTCTTTTTGAATAAAAATACGTTTTCATAAACTGAACTTTAAAATAATAGAAATATAATATTTAGCGAAATATTAACTGATTAATTTAAAGAGTATACGCGAAAACTCCAGTTTTCAAGTTGAGCAATTTGTTACTTGTACGTTGAAACAGCGGTCCGTCCGAGCGTCGCCCACTACTAGTTAGTGTGCCGGACTGTAGAGCTGAGATTCGCTGGGGGATTGGATCGTGTACCACATTTTTGAATCCAGAGTGCGTTGTAAAAATGAGATAAAATTCCATCATTCGGTTTGACAAGAGTAACCCATGAGTTGGCGGTGGGTGGTTTTAGCTATCTATCTTCTCTCTCTAGTCTAACAGTTCAAAATTAGAGGCGGGTAGCGCAGGTATCCCTCGAATGGCTTTGCGCGAATTTCCAAAAACAGGTTAGTCTAATTTTGTTTCGGCTCAACGTTGAACATTTTTCTAGTCTTTGTTAGTTACGAAGGGCTAATATAACAACGAAATTTAGGCAGGTGAGAGGAGGAAAAAAATGGATATAAATAATCACTAGACAGAAAATTAGCTGGAAAACGTTCTTCAATGTTAATCTGTTTAGGACATCTTCGAGCAGTGCTGGTTTTCCGCCTCAAACACGCACTTTTTGCACACGCACTTTT